ATCTCAAAAATCTCAAATTTCCTTTGTGTAATCCCTAAAACCTCCTAAATGCATTTCAAACCTTTTTTTTTTTTTCTGTTACTAAATCCTTATAGTTTATATGTTATTTTCTCTACATTTAACTAACATTTTCGGTATTTTGAATGCGATTATCTAAATATAGTTGATATATTTAATCTTTGCTCAATAAAGTATATTCTTCTAGAGAAAGGTGGTACGCTTGAAAGTGAAGTTTCTCAGTCTGATTCCGAGAAATGTTGCCTCTCTACTGTAGATATAGAGAAACTTGGAAGGCTTGGAATATTAGTAAGACAGTTTCTATGTTAGTAAACTTTATATCAAATAGAATATAGAATTAAACAACTTACTCTTAGTTCTTGTATAGGGCTTTCCTAGAGCTTTAATGGTTCGAAGATACGAAAAAAAAATAGACAAAATAATTTAATGGTGCGAAAATGATAAATAGGTGATATTAATGAAATAGAAGTTATATTTTTAGTGATACATTAATACTTGGGCTTTGAATATTCCTTTATTAATTAGGTTGAGTCAGCTTTTGGAAGTGCACGAGACATTGAATGGGCTGTAAATGAGGGCCAAGTATATCTACTACAAGTAAGTAACGTTGACGCAAGTTAACATACGAACAACGATAAACAATCGAGTGCAAATAAAAGCAAGACATTGTAGTTAGAATACTTAAATATTTTCGAATTATATTTAATAGTTTGGAAATATATTATAATACACTAATGCGTAAGTCTAATCACTTTCATTACAATTTTCGAAATAGACATCAACCCATCTAGTAACTTATGATATATCGGTACGTACTACATAATGGATAAGGAAAACGTTGCTTGTGTTACTTGTGTAAATTTGTTCTATTACAAAGAAACCTTAGCTTCGTATTAAATTACAGGGATTTGAATTAATCTACATTATTATCATTTATTCATCGCCATCATTCTTGTCAATGAAATCAGAGTCCTGGAATAGGTTGGAAGCAATACCAGTAACATATTCGATGACCAACTGATTTTGTATCTTTTTTTTTTTGTAGTGCAAAACCAGATTGTGCTATCTGCTGTGCCCACCGCGGGTAATAAAACCCTTGTTTTTAGCGTTTTAACTATGTAGACTTACCACTATCCCACCGTGGGACGTGTATCATAGAAGATACAAATAAAACTTTCAGGATATCGAGTTCTGAGTGAAACATAATTACTGATAACAAGTATCAATTCTGTATCTCTTCAAAGGGTCAAATTAGTCTGTGTCGTTTTCTATACACCAATCGTGTTAAATCACAAACAAAACATTTTACTATCAACTTGGCGTGGACTATTTATTTATTTATTTATATTGTTTATAAACTAAAGCATGTTCATCATATTTCCCTGTTATATTTTGTGTGTGTGTGTGTGTGATCCGGTGGACTATTTAAAGCCCAAGACAACGTAAGTTCTTTAAACTTTCGTGATGTGGCATGGGATATGAAGAGGTTAGGTGTTTCTCCGCGTATATAAAATAACACATCGTTAAGGTCTGATAACACGTCCACTGGCCAGTTATACAGTCTCCACGTGTATAAAATAACACATCGTTAAGGTCTGATAACACGTCCACTGGCCAGTTATACAGTCTCCACGTGTATAAAAGAACATCATTAAAATCTGAGAACACGTCCACTAGCCAGTTGTACAGTCTCCGCGTATATAAAATAACACATCGTTAAGGTCTGAGAACACGTCCATTTGCCAGTTATACAGTCTCCACGTGTATAAAAGAACACTTACTGTTAAGGTCTGAGAACACGTCCACTAGCCACTTATACAGTCTCCACGTGTATAAAAGAACATCATTAAAATCTGAGAACACGTCCACTTGCCAGTTATACAGTCTCCACGTGTATAAAAGAACACTTACCGTTAAGGTCTGAGAACACGTCCACTAGCCACTTATACAGTTTCCACGTGTATAAAAGAACACTTATCGTTAAGGTCTGATAACACGTCCACTAGCCAGTTGTACAGTCTCCACGTGTATAAAAGAACACTTAGCGTTAATGTCTGATAACACGTCCACTGGCCAGTTATACAGTCTCCACGTGTATAAAGAACCCTTACCGTAAAGGTCTGAGAACACGTCCACTAGCCACTTATACAGTTTCCACGTGTATAAAAGAACATCATTAAAGTCTGAGAACACGTCCACTAGCCACTTATACAGTCTCCAAGTGTATAAAAGAACACTTATCGTTAAGGTCTGAGAACACGTCCACTAGCCAGTTATACAGTATCCACGTGTATAAAATAATACTTATCCTTAAGGTCTGACAACATGTCCACTAAGCCAGTTACACAGTAACAGCCTGAAAGAGTAACACCACTTCAAACAATTTGAACTGACATGTAGAACAGAAAATTAAAAGCAACCAAAGATATTTGATCATCTAATAAAATCTAACCTAAAATCAACAGCGTCCAGTCGTTCTGTTGGTAACAGTTTGATATTTAGACTGTGTCACCTTGACTTGGCTATAAGTATCTGACAGACAGATAAAAAGCAGAGATATAATTTGACTTCAGAAAAAAAAATAAGAGGAAGAACCTGACATTTATTGGACTATATGAAATGACCATTTATTTTAATATCTGTAGCATATTAGGTGATGAATAATGTGAACAGTGGTTGATTGAACCATGCATATAGTGTAAGTATCACAAGACTTAGATTGATAAATAATTTACAGCGGACTTTATTCGTACGAAAAGTGTTTATGTTGTAATACTGTTAAGGAATAATTTATTCTGAGCGGCCTCATTGTTTAACACATTTATACAGCGCCCATCAGTTACCTAAAATGCAGGTCAACACTGCATTACAACCAGAGCCCAGGTTGATCCTGTGATAGAGCTCTAGACTTCATGGCTGATTCGAATTCGTGCGATATCCCAAAGTATTCTCCACACCTTCACCTGAGGTTGCGTTATAAGAATGTCAGTCAATTCTTTAGCATGAATGGTGGACGATAGAGTGCTGCTCATTGGCTGTCACCCTTCTCTTTAATAATTCAAATTAAAGAGACGGTGAGAGGTAGTCTTAGTAATTTTGCCATAAATACTAAATACAAATACAGTGTGCCGTTGTATTACAGCCATTAAAGTAATAAATACAAATACAGTGTACCGTTGCATTACAGCCATTAAAGTAATTATAAATATCCGTTTTCTTGCTCCCAAAAGGCAGGGTTTGTTTTTTCTGTTTTAACTTTTTGTTAAGTGGGTGTGAAAGATATACGTCATGACGTGACTGACGAAACTTTGATTTAATGTTGGTAAGTGGGACTATCTTGATTTTACTTATGCGTGTTATTCCTGTGGATAAATACATTAGTTAAGTTTGGACTTTCACATTGTAAACCTATACTGAGAAATTAATTAATATTGGGCATAACGAGCATTTCTATATATTACTGACTTATAAGATTATGCCTTTATTTGCTTATTTTTTCATTTAAAATATTAATGTCAGAAATGAAAAACCTCTTTAGAACAAGTTGTAAAAATATATTTCAGCAACAGATTTGATTTTTTTTAAATGGAAACATTTATTGACGTAACATTATTTTAATTTTCTATTTCGAAGAATTTAAGATTTTGAATGTATCAATAAGTATAAAATTTATTCAAAAAAACGTATTAAAGTACCTTGTGTTGTGAACTACGTGGAACTTAAAGAAAGTATGTTAATAAATATGGCGCGAGAACTGATGACTGATTAAACCTAATTGCTATCACTTAGGCTCGTCCAGTGACACGAGAGGATAAAGTGACGGAATACGAGCTCGTCCATGGACTAGATGACGGGGTCATTATTGAAAAAGAATTTTTTACCACAGCAAACGTTGGGTACTCAAAAATTAAATACTTGGTATATTTGTCATAACATGGGTCTGTTTCTAAACTGTTCAATGTTTCATCTCAGTTTTTTATTTGTTTGCTGTAATTGTGAATTTCTAGTTATTAATTGCATATATATATATATATATTGGAAAAATAAATTAGAGACTTTTCTACTCCAACTGTCACTAAACGTTACATTATAATCAATAATTAATAGTTTGCTCTTCCCCAATAACTCTAACTTCGCAATTGGTAAATGTATAGCCAACGACGTTAGATAATTTTATCAAGGCTGAATTAAAATATATTTGGTGTGTTCCACACATAAGATTTAGACAAATTGCAGAGCTCTAGTACATTCAAAGGTACCCAGATTTCGCCACTGATTATGTATTCGTATTATATATAAATTAGGTTAAATCATTTGTGCATTTTGGGCACTTGTAGTTATTAACTCTAGACTCGCTTTATAAAGAGTTTTATCCTTAGTTTTGACAGCGTCAATGTTTCATATATAGTGCATATACCATCGGATATTTGTAACTTTCATTAATTAGTTATTAGCGGGTTCATTGTCAAAGTGTTCTATTTAATTTACCTTTTAAAGAATGCTGGTACTTATCAATAATATTTTACGTATTCTAAGAAATTTTAAAACTTGATTATTTGTGAATTAAAAGAAGTGGAGTATAATGGGTTGTGTGGATTGTTCCCACCTGTAGTATAAGCGACAAGCTTACCAGTGATCCACTGAGTCGTATCTGTGTGTATAGTATCAAACATAAGTTATGTTGCGATTACGGGTTTTTCCTATCATAAATATATTGGTTATAAGGTTTATTTAGTTTTGTGTTTTTAAATGCAAACATGAATTGAATTAATTTCGTATGGAAACGAATGTAGCTGTACTGAACAAAATACACTAAGGACTTTTTAGACATGCCAAATTATCAATTTGTGAAAAACAAATATATTAATTTGAAATTAAACTAGAGAGCAGTCTTTTGACAACATGTAGTTGTGGAATTCTGTATGTAGGTATGCAATGTCCATACACGTGGTGCCC